TCTCCTAGGCTGGCAATCGTTCACTTCACACACAGAGGCCCAAGTCCCATCTCTGGTGCCAGGCACTGGAGATGCACTGCTTGTCAGTGCAGGTGGTGAGAGTTGCATGGTGAGCGCATGCTGGCAAAGGGGCAGGGGCCTGTTCTACCAGCACTGCAATGCAAATACTGTACCCACCCTTCAGACCAGCGGGATAGAGACATCTCACCCAGACTGTCGGGTCATGGGACGGGACCCGGCCCAGCATGGTTAGAACACAGCTCAGTCTTGCAGAGTCAACGGGAACAAACTGCTCACTGAATTGCACCAGAACCCTGCAAAGTGCAAGGCATGGTTAGAGAATGTGGTTAGAACACGGTTCAGCTCCAGCTGCACTGCAAAAGCGAATGGTGTTCCTGTTGCGGCCAGACTTTGCAATACCATGGCTTTTTGGCAGTGCAGAACCCTGACAGCTAGGCTCTCTGCTTCCACGGGAGGGCAGCAAAGTGCTGCATTTTCAAAGGCTTGGCGACACCAAGACAAAGCTGACCCCAGACCTAACAGCGACCCGTGAAGTGTACCTTGGAAGGGTGCCCTTTGTGATTGCCCCCATCCCCCCTCTTCCTTCTCCTTCATCCTTGGGCCTCGCTTGTGTCAAAGTGCCTCTCCTTTCAGCAGAGAAGGGCTAGAGGTGGCTCCCGCCAGCAGCCCCTGAAGCTGCTCTAGGCAGATTAGATGAGGCTTAGTTGCAGGCTGGTCCCCACCACCACCACCCGGATCTCCGTAGGGCAGCCAGGTTTTTTAACACTGTACACACAGTTGCACTCCTCTTTTGCAAGGCAATACTGCAATTGCACGTGCATGCCGGACAACTCCCAATCAAAGTTACATGCATAATTTGTGTGCACAAGTTTAAAACCAGGCTCTTAGTTTGAAACATAACAACCAGAGGAGCAGTTTGTGGGGTGGTCGTCAGAGCAGGGGTCTAGGGCTCAGGACTCCTGCATTCTAATCCCTGCTCTGCCACAGCCTCATACTTTCAGAACTGGCCTATAACACCACGATTCCTACTGAACTCGATGCTCTGCACCTCTGAAAATAGGGCCCACGGCTGGCTGAAAATGGGAAACCAAAACCGAAGGCCACATTTGGAAATGTGGCCCTTAAAATGCCACACTTCTTCTCTCTGTAAACGGGCCTAGCAACCTCACCCACTCCATAAAATGCCTGGAGATTCTTGGGTGAAAGGTACTATGTAATAAATACTGAGTATTACTGTTCATGGAGTGTGATCTCTCTCCTGAGGGGCCCATTGGCTCAGCCACAGTGCGATTCCCATCTTATGACAGCAAGCCTGAGAGTCAGACTGTTTTGCTTCTCTCAGGTAGCCTTTGCTCTAGCAAGTAGGAGGTGGAGCAGGCAGGAATTGACCCCAGACATTTGGGCTGAGAACACTTACTGCTTAATCGGAGCATTTCCTGGTATCAGCAGGGCAGCCTGCTTTGTTTACTATCTCATGACACAGAGCTCAGTGCCATCTGGATACTGTACAAGGAAGTGAGATAAGTTTGTACGCAGGGAGGAGAGCAGAATTTCTCTAACGCATTCTGAAGCAGTTGGGAGTTCTCAGCAAAGATACCGCGTCCTTGCTGGCTCATTCCAAGAGGGAGTTCACTTTTAACATGTCTACACACCACCTCCTTCTGTAAGCAAGGAGCTTCTGCATATCTTCTGGGTACTGCCTGGTTCTAAACTCAGCAGCAAAATCCTTAAGTCAATTACAGGAAACATCTTGTAAACAAATCCAAAGTCAACCTCTGTTGGCAAAAAAAATACTGGCTGATCAGTCCAGCTCTGCAAAGCTGCAAAATGAGAAAGCAAGAGCAGGCAAATATTAGTGGGGGGCAGATGGGGTTTGAAGGAAGCGGGACTGAAGATCTGATGCAGACAAAATTAAAATGTGACGAGGAAACGATGGGTAAGAGTACCAATGCATAAAAAACAGCCATGCTGCATGTGCCTTCCAGTCTAAGGGTGCAGAAGCAAGGAGACCGTGTTTGTGTTGGAAGGGCAGTAAAACGCTGCGCATGTGTACACATCTAGACATGGGACAAGGCTTTATTGTGGCTCTACGGCCCAGGCCCAGAGAGGTGTGTAGAGTCACACCAGCTGAGGGGGAGCCGTAGGTGACATTTTGAGAGTTTTGCCATGAATTTCAACGGGACTAGAATTTGATTCGCAATCTAGGAGAGGGCTAAGTAACAGAGACATAAGGCAAGAGAAGGTTCTTAAAAGCACTGGGTCCAATTCTGTTTTCAGTTACACCAGTAGGCGTGGGGTAACCCCAGTGATGACAATGAAATTACTTCAGGAATTACACCATTATTAAGGCAGAATTTGTCCCATTGGAGTTACATCTGGGATGAGCCGTCTTAAAAGGCCAAATCCTCCACTGGCATAATCTCATAAGCTGTCGTATCCCCCAGTTATGCCAATTTACACAGTAGAGGCTCTGGCCCCACATAAGTAAAACAAAATGAAAACTTGATTTAAAAGCCATAACACAAACTAGCTTCATTTTAAAGAGCAATTGTCTAACCCCTTTAAACGGTATATTAGGGATGTTGTTCATTATCAAATTTATAACTGGGGATAGTTTGACTAGTTTTAATGACAGCAGTTAAAGGCACATGCTTCCACATTTTGGGACTGAACCGACCTTGCCAGGTTAGAAATCATACAGTACACAGCTTCTGCCTCCCCCTTTTGTAACTAACAGGGATTGGGAAAAGGGGGTGGGGGGGATTTAAAACATGGGAATGTATTTCTCTTTACTTGTCTCACTGAACTGGAAGAGTAAAAACAACCAGAGCAGTTTCTTGTCAATTTCTCATCCACTACCACCATGCACTTACGTTTTGGTTTCCAACACTGCAGGGAAAGGTGGGGTCCCAGAAGACCCTTCAAATCCATGCATACTCCAGTGATTCAGGGAACTGTGGGGCCCAGGGTGGAAGAGGGCCTGATTCAAAGCCTACTTAAGCCAATGAGAGTCTTTCCATTCTCCAAAATGAGCTTTGCATCAGGCCCACACAATGCAAGTGTGACTATGGGGCACTAATGCCATAGAAACAACAAAGCTAACCTGGACCCACTGCTGACTGTAGGTGCTTATGCTATCCAGCTGGGGCAATTACTAACAGCTGAATTCTCAGCCCAGACCCAGTGTTCACAGCGGAGCTTTCTATTGGGACCTGCTGCCTGCAACTATCCCAACAGCAGTTGTGTTGTTCTGTTTACAGCTGTTGCTTGTTCTTTTGTTTTTTTATCTTAATATCCGACCTTGATGTCATGGAGATGATTCAAAAGCAAACAGAGAGAGGGAATAGCAGTGACAAAGGCCTGGAGACATTATCAGAGGGGTTTAGGAAAGACTAAAAAAAGAACTGAGTAGCTTGTCTGCACAATGACTAAGGGGAGAGGTGATAACAGTCTACAAGTGTTTGAGAGTCTGAACACCACAGGGCAAGAGGTTAGTTAATATGGAATGGAGGAGGATGACTGGGAAGAAAAAGGAGGATAAACTGAGGCTAAATATCAGGGGAAAAATTCCTCCAAGTCATGGACGGGGTGAAACCTCCCCCCTCGCTTCAGAGAGGCTAGTCCGCCCTCCCAGCCCCGCATGGCCAGACTCCCCCCTGCTGCCCCGTGGCCGGAGCCCTGAGCCCCTCCCCTCCACGGGCAGAGGAGCCCCAGCCCAGCTGCCCTGAGCTGCCAGGCCCCAGCCGCGCCGGCCAGCCCGAGCTACCCCTGGCCGTCCCAGCCCCTGGCCGCCAGCCCGACACCTGGGCCACCAGCTGGCCTGAGCCCTAGGCCGCTGGCTGGAGCTGAGCGCCTGCCGGCTTCAGGCGAGAGGGGGAGTGAGGGCAGGGCCTTGGGGCGGAGCCATGGCCTGGGTTAGGGGAGGCTTAGCCTCCCCTGGCCTGTGATACCTGCCGCCCATGCTTCAAGTCAAACAGTAAGAGTGTGCCAGGTATGGGAGAGACGAGGTGGGTGAGGTAATATCTTTTACTGGACCAACTTCTGCTGGAGAAAGTGACAAGCTTTCACCCACCTTGTCTCTCTAATATAATGGGACCAATATGACTGCAAAGAACAATGTCAGGCATGAGGATAGCTGCTGAGTCCTGCTTTCTGACCCTGGATTAGGTGCTAGCACCCTGCACTGACATGCAAAGCTCTTTATTCTTCTGTCTAACCCTGGGCTTCATCTGTTTCTGTTAGCACAGTTATCTAAACAAAAATCTTTGTCTATATGGGACAATAAAACCATGCTAAAACAATGCTATCTACAAACTGTGCTGGGAAACGGCCATCTGTCAGAAATCCATCCTGACAATTGTTTTCAAACCTAGTTGTAACCAGCTCTGCTCCGAATTTGCCCAGAACCTCTCAATGACAGTGCTCTGCAACTCTTTTAAAAAATAACTGCTAAAGAATATTTATTTTTCTTACTCTGAACATTTTTAAACAGTGCAAGTTCCATAACATAAAAATAGAACAACCGACCATGGTTGCTACGCTTCAGATTGCAAGTCACACATGCATCCAGCCTCCATTTGAACTCAAGTCTCAAGTGTTACTGTTGAGTGCTGGTTCCTGGTCAAAGAACAAATACAATATTTTAAAAAACCTGTCATGGTGTGGTGTAAAATAACAGCACCTACATCACACGTGCCTCTCACAACCAGCACCCATTTTTTTGGAAAATCTGGATTCTTACATCGTGCACCAAACTTTTCTAAAAATACCGTAAGTATTGTAAATATACAAAACATTTTTTGCCATTTCTGGTGAAGGTAACACCAGTAACACCTCAACAGCAGGTCCCTTTCCACCAGTGGGAGAAACTACTTATGCTCGGTGTAATTGTAAAACAGTCACCTTAAAACCTTTAGTACACGGAAAAGCTCCAAAGACCACCAGGACTGGGTGGAATTAAAAAAAAAAACCAACTTCTTTCAGTAGCACGTTATTTCTCAGTGAGCCTCAGATCTGCCCCCTCACACACACACACCTTTCCTTGCGCACAGTACTTCCTTGTCGCTCCCCCTCCCCACCCCAGCCCCAAGTGCACAGGGAAATGGCCAAAAGTTCCTTTTCAAAGGCCACACAAAGCAGAGTGACCAGAAAACAGTTTACATTGAGTCATTGTAACACTTGCCCTACTTCTCCCATTCTGATCAATATCTGGCGTCTGCATGTGGCTGCTGACGTATTTAGAGCACTGCTCATTATTCCATCTGTTCCCAGTGTACGTGAAATAATTCTGTAAGCCTTCTTTCCATATGGGCATGTTTCAACCTATCCACAACTCTCAAAAGTTAGTGGGAGGCCCTTTTAAATTCCAGAGGTTGATGCTTTTAAGATGAGTTGCAAACTCTTTATGATTATGCTGCTTTCATGTTGGGAGTAGACAACTGTACAAATTATTCTCTGTGGAGCTCCCTAGAGGGCATGGAGTAATTAACAATCAGAAGGGGGATATACTGGTCCACCAAAGGGAGGAAGGGTCAACTGAGACTGGGGATACACACCACTTTCCTGCTGGACGGGTGGAAATGCGGCTCCTCCAACAATCTGAGTTTCCCCGGGTGCGGCTGCCTGTAGGACTGCAGAAAGATCTAACGAAGGAAGTGAAAATAGAGTCTGGTTCTGAATTTGTGAATTCAACTGCACCAGTGCCTCCAGATGCTGGATCAGAGACAATGCTTCCTCCACAGGAACAGCTGGACTGGAGTCTCCAGTTGCAGCATGATTTTGGAGGTCAGAGGTAGCAGAAGGTTCATGGGAAACAAGATGGGGCACAGATGGCACCTGAGAAACTCCACCAGAAGATGTAACTCCAGGATAAAATATACCTGATAACTGCTGAATACCTAACATGTTGGCATCGAGGGCCACATTGCCACCACATTCATGGGAGCATAAGGAGCATGAAGACAATGGTCCGTGATTCCAGTTCTGTGATGCGGCTGGTCCTGCATCAGCGAGGTATGTCTCCGTATGTCCCCCAGTCATATTGTGCTGCCTTCCCAATGATTCCTGAGCCATGCTGTAGGACTGCCCTACCATCCAGGGGAAGTTGCTAAGTGAATGGAAAGCACAATCCTGCATGGATTGGTCAGTTTCCTCCTTTCTGTTTTGGCAGTGTGAAGAAGATACTGCATGGCATGTCCCTCCATTTACGACTTCACCCACTGCCGTATTGAGAGCGAACATATTATTGTTTGTAAGGGGTTCCTGGCTGTGAGAAACTGCAGGAGGATACTCGTTCCTAGACAGCCGCTTACCTGTGAATGCCCTGGACGGTACCTGTTGAAATGGTTCAGCCAGTTTGGTGCTCCCAGAACTGTCCAAAGGAGGGGAAAAGCATTTGGTCACAAGGTTATTTTTAAAAGTCACTGTCTTTCTTTTTGTTTCCCTTAAGAGGCTGGGCCTCGTGCTACTTGTAGAGGGATCGCCTGAGACTTTCTTTGGGAGAATCAGTCCCAGCAACAAGCAAGAGTGATTTGCATCAAGACCTATTAAAACAAACAAAAAAGGTGGTGTTAAAGGAAGATTTTTCCACAATTTATGCTGGAATCTTCCTAACTTTGGGCCAAATCCTTCGGTACTGTCTCACTCTTTATTGAATACTTATTGAGGCAAAACTCTCCCTGAGACAAATCCTAAATTTCTTCCTCTGATAGTCATTTGCCACTGCCGAAAGACAGGATACAGGGCTAGATGGACCATTGGTCTGATCCAGTCTGGCCGTTCTTATGTTCCTATGGAAGATTTCCCTGAGTAAGGACTGAGTAAAAAAATAAATAAGGATCACAGGTTTTCATGTAATTTTTTTAACCCCATTCACATTTTCTGCATTACACTGAGATTTAATTTTTATTCTTCACCCACAGCTCAGCAATTGTATTCAAGGGTTAGAGCCAAATTTTAAAAGGGACGTTAACTTGGCCTCTGAAATTGTGCCTGCAATTTTGGGCAGGCTTGTTTTTACACACAAATTTTTCACACCAACGTCTCAGGGCCTGCAAAAGAGTGGATTTGTGCATGCGGCACTACAGTTACATGCCCAAATCACGTAGTTCACAATCTGCAGTCGAGCAATGCAAATCCAAGTTTTTGCACGCACACAATAACACGCATGTGCAAACACTTTTGTGCACAAAACTGCAGGCCCAACTTTAGAGACCGCTGTAGAAAAATCTGCCCTTATTTTTTTGCCCATCTAGGTTGAAAGGAGAATTAAAAGAGTTTAAAATATATATTGCTCTCAAAGGTGAATTATATATTTCTTTCTCAAACGACACACTGACACGAATCACATAAACGCACTTGAAATCAGTGGGTATACTTCAGTTCTGTTTGCAAATAGGTCAGTCTGACCATTCTGTGACGGGTGACTGACCACAGCTAAACACCAAGGCAATTTTACTAAGGATGACCTGCAATTTTCAACCATCATGGTTTGTAGCTGGGTATCTGATTCTCCCTGCATTGTGCGATGGCTGAAAAAGGTACAGCCCGTTTCAAATGGCCCAGGAGACATTACAGTCTCTTGGTCTTGTCCTATCTTGATGGCAGAGCTCTGGACTGTCCCAGATTAGGAACACAAAGATAACACGATTTATAATTAAAACTATCTGCTTCTCCGTGATGACTGAGTATCCACTTGTCTGGGAGGTGAGACAGATGCCAGGTCAATCACCGATGGATTGTGCTGCATCTCAGAGGTGATTCTGCCAATGATTACTGGAAAATGTAATCAGCTTCCAGGCTGGGTTCAAGTGTGCACTGAGTGCAATTACCTGATATGGAGATGATGTGATGTTACATCATGTGATGGAGGTAGGACAGGGATTAGCTGCAGCTCTGACAAATGACATTTCACATGATGAGTAGCTGGGTGGGAACACACTATTATGTGACAAGGGGTTACATGAGTTTACATCCTGATGTGCTGCAGGCAAGCACCAGCCATTTCATTAGTTATATGTGGCAGTTACCTCAGGTCATGTGACACGAAGCTGGGCAGGGAAAGAAAATGTCGTAGGAATTAGGACAATGTGGGATTACTGGGCTTGATTTGCCTTTCATTTACTCTCATTTTATACTGCTGTCAATCCATTTACCTCAAAGGAGTTACTCCCGATTTACACTGTCACAAGGAGAAGCAGATCCACTGGCTCTCTGCCGTTTCATCTGTGGTAACAGAGGGTTATAGATGTCCATGCATCACAAGATGCAACTACCCATATTTTAAGTGCCTTTTTCCATAGTAAAGGGCATGTGAGTGCCCAACCCTATTTTTCAAATCTGCCTTTCACTGAGAAATAAATAGAGCCCCTTGCTTTCTGACACCCGGTAAAGCTGTGGATTATATTATACTGAATTATTTATAGCACTGGAACCTGTGATCCTCAATCTGAAGGCAGCAAGTTATTTCACTGAGCCTCTCTGGGGTACACACCAGAAAAGGAAGCCAGCTTGTTTAAAATCCATACCTGGGCCACCAAGTGGATGGAATTTGGCAGGTACTGGCTGGAAGGCTGGCAGCGGTACCATGAACATTTCCATCTGGTTGCTGTCCACAATGCCGTATCTCTGTTTGTTGTTCAAATACGAATACAGCATGTTGTAAATTCTGAAGTCTTTGGTCATGGCAGGGCAGAATTGTATCATGCTCATCTCCTAAACAAACACAGGGAGAAGGAGACTGTGTGGATTGTCTGAAAACACAGTGCTGCTAACCATGTTCACCTAACCGGAAAGAAGTACTGAAAAACGGAAGGCATCTAGGAACTTGTTTGCATGTCAGAAGGGCTCAAGCTTAATCCCATTTGTGGGGAGGGGGCGCTCCCATTCTTTATGTGCTTCACTCACTGCATTTTGGCAAGATGAAGAGCGTTCACCTCACACACAACCTACAAACACACTTTGGTGCACGTAAACAATCTGGCGGACTCTACATTCTATATGGAGATCACAAGAGTATGAACAAATTCAGGAGAGAGAGAGAGAGAAAAACACAGACAGAGATCTTGCCTACAATATGGTAAAGACAATTTTTACCTGCACATGGTACGTCCCTGAACTGTATCAGGTCAGTTGACACCATTGGGCCTGATCCAAAGCTCAATGAAGTCAGTGGAAAGACTTCCAATCACTTCAATGGACTCTGGAGTAAGCCTTTAGAAGTCTTCCATCCATGTCACACATTTATGCATAGCCACAATCCTTGAACCCAGTGGTTGTTGCCAGTCCACTGAACCTCTCAAGATTAGGGCCTACATACTATTCACTTTTACTTGCCACTTAAAAGGACAGAATGTTTCAGTTGATCCAAAATATCATTCTATGCAACCATTAAAATTGTCCCTGCTGGTATCATAACTATGTGGGAAAGTGCAACCCTTTGTTGGCATGCTTTCAAACATGTAAAGGTGACAGCCATTTTAGCTGCATGAATGCAGGCTGCTTCTGGTGTCCAGCAGCTGAGTTCTCCTGTGATAAAAGGTTTAAGGGTTATTATTGCACTAACTCAGTTCTTCTGACATCTTGGACCACAGGCTGAAGGAACTAGGATATGCTTAAAAGTCAGCTTAGTACATGACAAATCATCCTCAGCGCTTGAAAACAAGAACCTTTTGAAAGGCTACCTTGGCTTCAGCTGGCCATATGCTCTCTAAATAATCCCAGACGTCCTCCGGGAGAATACAGCCCCTCGACTGAATCAGCTCCGGTAACGCCTGTACAAACCAGAAGGACAAAAATATAGATTACCCACCTTTTCATAACTGGTGTTCTTCGAGATGCGTTGCTCGTGTGCATTCCATTCTAGGTGTGCGCTCACCCACCTGCACAGTCGTCAGAGACTTTTGCCTTAGCAGAACCCATAAGGTTGGCTGTGGCACCCTCTGGAGTGCAGCACTCATGCGTCGGTATATCAGGCCCTGCCGGCCCCATGCCCTCTCAGTTCCTTCTTGCCAGCAACTCCGTCAGAGGGGCAGGAGGGCCGGTAATGGAATGGACATGAGCAATACATCTCGAAGAACAACAGTTACGAAAAGGTGAGTAATCGTTTTTTCTTCTTCGGGTGCTTGCTCATGTCAATCCCATTCTAGGTGACTCACAAGCAGTATCCCTGGAGGTGGGATCAGAGTTCACAGTCATGCAGCTTGCAGCACTGCTCTACCAAAGCCAGCGTCGTCTCGAGCTTGTTGGGTAAGCGCATAGTGAGACATGACCAGGTAGTGGCCTTGCAGATATCCTGAATGGGTACTTGGGCTAGGAAGGCTGCCGCCGAGGCTTACGCTCTAGTTAAGTGAGCCGTGATAATCACTGGCACCTTCGCCTGATCATAGCAGAAATGGATGCAAGATGTGATCCAAGGCGAAATTCTCTGGGCTGACACCGGACAACCTTTCATCCTACCTGCCACTGCGACAAACAACTGCATCGACTTGTGAAATGGCTTGATCCTCTCGATGTAGAAGGTTAGTGCTCTCCTGATGTCCAGGAAGTGCAACCTATGCTCTTCCTCAGACTTATGAGGTTTTGGACAGAAGACTGGCAAGAATATGTCCCTGCCCAGGTGGTTTCCCAATTACACATGAGCCAAAGGCCAGGTGTGGCCACAGCTGGACCTTGTCCTTGAAGAATGTGGTATATGGTGGTTCCAAGATGAGCACCCTAATCTCGGAAACCCTCCATGCAGAAGTTATTGCCACCAAGAACGATACCTTTCAGTAGAGAAGAAGAAGAGAGCAGGACGCCAACGGCTCGAAGGGGGTTTCCATGAGCTACGTAAGCACCAAGTTAAGGTCCCATGGAGGGACAGGATCCCGGGCTTAAGGGTAGAGTTGTTCCAGACCCTTCAGGAACTGGCCCGTCATGCCATGCACGAAGACTGACCTGCCCTGGAACGGAGGGTGAAAGGCTGATATAGTGGCCAAGTGGACCTTAACAGATGAAAGGGACAACCCCTGAAGTGTAAGATGCTAGAGGTAGTCCAGGATCAGCTGCAGCGAGGCCTGCACAGGCCTAACCCCTCAGGTTGAAGGCCGCACGTAAAATGTTTCCATTCGACCAGATAGGTGGCCCTACTGAAGGGCTTCCTGCTTCCCAGCAGGACCTGCCGGACTTGGGCCGAGCACTCCTGCTCCACAGAACTCAGTCATGGAGCAACCAAGCTGTCAGGTGCAGCGCTGCCAGGTTCAGGTGCAAGAGCCTGCTGTGATTCTGTGACAGGAGATCCGGCCAGTGGGGCAGCAGCATCGGGGCCAACAGGTCCAGGAGCACGCTGAACCAATGCTGGCGAGGCCAACCCGGGACATTTAGTATGACCTCGGCCCTGTCCTGCCTGACCTTTATGAGGACCCTGTGGAGCAACTGGGGGGAAAGCGTACATCAGTGTGATTGCAGAGCCATTGGCCATTATCTTTGAAAACTCATGGCGATCGGGGGAAGTCCCGGACGACTGGAAAAAGGCTAATGTAGTGCCCATCTTTAAAAAAGGGAAGAAGGAGGATCCGGGGAACTACAGGCCAGTGAGCCTCACCTCAGTCCCTGGAAAAATCATGGAGCAGGTCCTCAAGGAATCAATTCTGAAGCACTTAGAGAGGAAAGTGATCAGGAACAGTCAGCATGGATTCACCAAGGGCACGTCATGCCTGACTAATCTAATTGCCTTCTATGACAAGATAACTGGTTCTGTGGATGAAGGGAAAGCAGTGGACATGTTGTTCCTTGACTTTAGCAAAGCTTTTGACACGTCTCCCACAGTATTCTTGCCAGCAAGTTAAAGAAGTATGGGCTGGATGAATGGACTATAAGGTGGACAGAAAGCTGGCTAGATTGTCGGGCTCAACGGGTAGTGATCAATGGCTCCATGTCTAGTTGGCAGCCGGTATCAAGTGGAGTGCCCCAAGGGTCGGTCCTGGGGCCAGTTTTGTTCAATATCTTCATAAGTGATCTGGAAGATGGTGTGGATTGCACCCTCAGCAAGTTTGCAGATGACACTAAACTGGGAGGAGAGGTAGATACACTGGAGGGTAGGGATAGGATACAGAGGGACCTAGACAAATTGGAGGATTGGGCCAAAAGAAATCTGATGAGGTTCAACAAGGACAAGTGCAGAGTCCTGCACTTAGGATGGAAGAATCCAATGCACCACTACAGACTAGGGACCGAATGGCTCGGCAGCAGTTCTGCAGAAAAGGACCTAGGGGTTACAGTGGACGAGAAGCTGGATATGAGTCAGCAGTGTGCCCTTGTTGCCAAGGCCAATGGCATTTTGGATGTATAAGTAGGGGCATAGCGAGCAGATCGAGGGACGTGATCGTTCCCCTCTATTCAACACTGGTGAGGCCTCATCTGGAGTACTGTGTCCAGTTTTGGGCCCCACACTACAAGAAGGATGTGGAAAAATTGGAAAGAGTCCAGCGGAGGGCAACAGAAATGATTAGGGGACTGGAACACATGAGTTATGAGGAGAGGCTGAGGGAACTGGGGATGTTTAATCTACGGAAGAGAAGAATGAGCGGGGATTTGATAGCTGCTTTCAAATACCTGAAAGGGGGTTCCAAAGAGGATGGATCTAGACTGTTCTCAGTGGTAGCAGATGACAGAACAAGGAGTAATGGACTCAAGTTGCAGTGGGGGAGATTTAGGTTGGATATTAGGAAAAACTTTTTCACTAGGAGGGTGGTGAAATACTGGAATGCATTACCTAGGGAGGTGGTGGAATCTCCTTCCTTAGAAGTTTTTAAGGTCAGGCTTGACAAAGCCCTGGCTGGGATGATTTAATTGGGGATTGGCCCTGCTTTGAGCAGGGGGTTGGACTTGATGACCTCCTGAGGTCCCTTCCAACCCTGATATTCTATGATTCTATGATCAGAGCCTCCGACCATGGAAGCAGAAAGGCGTCCAACAGGGAGTCCCTGTCGAACCCCTAGAACAAGCAGAAATGGTGGCACTTCCTGTTCTGGTGAGTCGTGAACAGATCCACCTGGGGAGATCCCCACTTCTGGAAGATATTGTCCACCATCTCAGGGTGGAGAGACCTCTCATGGTGAGATGAGAAGATTCTGCTGCTGACCATTTGCGAAGCAAGGGAGAGAGGCACTCCAACTGACCACCACGAGCAGCAAGAAGGAACTGAGAGGGCGTAGGGATGGCGCCGCCTGATATACCAACACATAAGCATGGCACTCCAGAGGGTGCTACAGCCGACCCTACGGATACCGCTAAGGCAAAAGTCTCCGATGACTGTGCACATGGGTGCGCACACACCTAGAATGGAATTGACATGAGCAAGCACTCAAAGAAGAATTATTACTTATTATTTAATATTCTACAGACTTACTTAAGACCTACTCAGGCAATCCCCTACTGAGATCATTATTTGTTAGTAGTAATCTTTTTCACCTTTATAAAGGCCATCACCCAAGTATCTGGGCACACTTTGCATGGTTTAGAACAGAAACAAATAACGGAAAGTGAACCGTTTTAACCCAATTTGTGCTTTCTGAGAGATTCCTTTTAATCTCAGAAAATATAAGGAACAGTCCTGCACTGGTGCCCTGAGCAATGGACTAGTTGCTATAGCTGGTCTTCTCCACTTTTAGTTCCTATGATTCTGCCATTCTATAGCAGTTCCTGCTTGTACATGTGAAAACTCAGTTCAAAGTCCATAGTCTCATATCCATGGGAGTTCAACTGGAGTTGAGCATAAAAAACCAAATATCACTGTAAGTCCTCTAGGCACCTAGCTAATCCTATGACATCTCAGAAATGTTTCCCCTTTCCTATTGTCCCATCCACAGGCCAAATGCTGAGGTCCTTATTAATCAGTTCTTACTCAGGCAAATTCCAATTGGTTTCAGTGAGAGTTGGTATGAGGAACAAATGAGTAGTAACTTCATAAGGGCCACAGGACTTGGGTCTATCATATGAAAACACATGATATAACTTGATGTAAGAATCTGAGCTTTGATGCCTTGTCTGTGGAATACCACATGAAACGTGTGGTGTTTTATTAAATACACAGTCTTATTGATATAGACAGTCCCTCCTGTAATGTAAAAGAAAACAAGGGTCATACTTGAATGAGGTAAGTGCCATAGCCTGAAACAGGATATGCTTTTGCCACAAACTGTTTAATGCTGAACATCTGAATGAATCCCTCCCACAGCACAGTGTCCTTGACTTGCTTCTGTAGCCTTAGATTCTTCTTGAGGACGCCAGTTGAGGCAGGCCTAAAACATAATAAGTATTATATAGTGGAGTCATTCCTATAGGTCTGGATATTCCATATGCTTTGATTGTGCCATTCTTTTATTTCTTGAGTCACTCCACCTCTTTTCCTGCACATTTTGCACTTTAAAGGAGGGGAAAGGAGGTTGCCACCTGGTCTGATTTGTTACCTTTGTTGTACCTTGTAACATGTAAGTCGGGGGTACAGAACATCCATCTCTCCTCCCTGTATAAGGGATTGACAATGGCTCCTGCTCCAGCCCATCTCCTTTTAGAAGGGGCCACACATGGAAACCCAAAGGGCAGGACTTGGGGATAACAGTGAGGATGGGTAACAGATATGAATTCCATTTTCCAGACCTCTCTCCCCCCCACCCCTTTCCATCACCACATGATGCAAAACAGTCATGTAGGGGCATAACATTTGCTGTACTAGATCAGACAACTGGTCCATCTAGTCCAGCATCCTGCTTCTGGCACAGATCAATACCTGGGGCTTCTAAGTAAGATAAACCCCACCTGTAGTATGTTGTATCTCCCTGGGGTGAGGCTGGGCACCAGTCTTGTCTCAGAGCTCCCTTCCTGGACTATAGTTTTGCTGTGGGGTTGTCCTGAGGTCTGGAGCACAGCCCCCCAGCTGTGCTGCTCAGGGCATCTGCACCATTATTGGGGGCTTGTGTGTGGGGGGGGATTTAAGGTAGTCCAAACAAAAAAGGCAGTAAACTTCCACAGCCCACAAAAGGCAGAGTCCAGGGCCTTCAGAAAGCAAAAGGGAGAGGGGAGGAGAAGGGGAAAGAGAGAGAAGAACCAGCCTGTCTCCCTTCTGAGAGGACCTGGGCACCCAAGGCTCTCAAGCAGTTTCCCCAGTCAGTAACCCTGGCTGAACTCTGAGTTCCAGCCCTATTCCTTCAAAATGAACTCCCAAACTGAGCTGGGATCCTCCCTTTTAAGAAACCACCCATCCATAGGCTTGACAAGTCTTCTAGTTGGGTCTGATTATGCCCAGAGGAGCTCTTTACTCTCTTCTATGACTGAGGTGGGGATCTGTCCACCAAATCACCCCACTCCTGTAATGCAACTCGCCAGTTTATGCCAAGGAGCTTTGGTTTCGACTCCTCTTAGACTGCAGAATTACAGAAGTTCTCAGTCCTTTTTAAAAACCATGTGTGGACAGTGGAGAATATACAGGCCACATGTTAAAACAAAAAGCACAACAGTAAGATAAAATACATTCCCACAAAGACCTGTCTTTCTCCAAATGTTTTCTCTCTTTGTCTGAATAGACACTGCTTGAATGTAATCTTCTGGAGCTGTCTTCTGCCTTCTTCTTTGAGGTTGATTTGCTCTGCAGTGGGTTAAAACCTCTCTCACCATCAGGAGCCATCCTTCCTGTAAAGTCAGAAAAAACACTGATGTTTCTGTACATTCTGATCACAAAGAAAGAACACTGCTCTAATACAAGGTGGATTTCCATTTCTATGAGAAGTTCTGAAATATAAAAACAGAAATAATCTCAGAATTGACACTTTTCACTGTGTTATGGCCAAAGATAACATTTGACCCGGCTGCCAGCAAGTATCAGGTCCTAGCTATACTGCCCTTGTTTACATACCATAAACTCATCCATGCTGCCTAGATCTGGCTTGAAAAGGGCTGGGACTAGCCGTGAGGAATAAAGCTCTTTCCTTGGTCTCCAGCCCAAGCATGAGTCCTGCTGACTTCTCTCAAGCTCTCCCCACTTTCTTTGCCTGTGTATATCAACATTTTTACAATTTATGGATCATGAGAGTGACAGATTAATAACACTAGCTTGAACCAGGCATCATCTGAGGCTGGTAATGTACAAACCACCAATACACCTCATTCCTCAACAATTGCTAATTCGGTCCTGGGCCTCTTGAACAATTCTATCAAGTTGTATGATGGATTTGTGACATGGAGAAAGGTTATGTGGGACAGAATTTGAACTCATATGTCTAAGGCTAACCAACCAAATCCCTTCTCCCAGCTTACTTACCTGTACAGATAAGGCAGTCTAGGTCCAGTAAGTGACTCCTGTGCTGGTCTGTGGTGTCTCTTTTGGACTCTGCAGCGGGCTGGGAAACACGTTTCTTGTCCATACATAGAACTGATCCCTACATGGAATGTATGACAGTTAGTAGCATACACGTTGAACTTCATTCACACGGAGGCAACCTGCGCTCCCGAATCAGCCTTATAGGAAGTGGTGGCTGAGTATCTATTCACACCCTCCTCATTCACCTGCTGGTGTCACCCACGCTCCCTAAAAGAAAGACATGGGGGAGTTCCCACTCTCCCCCAGGGAAATGCTGTTTTCCAGATTCCATCTTTCAAAGAGGCCTATGGTCATCAAACAGCAATCGGGGGTGGCTCCCCCTTCTGTTAGTAGTCAACTATCAGTTAACCATAACCTCTTGCTGAAGTGATGGAGACACAGTGTCAACACACAACATCCATCGCCTTTATAATAAACCAGAACAGCACAACACACTTATACAAAAAGAGCCTCTGATCTCAAGATGGCTCATAGAGCTATTGAAACCCTCTAGAAAAGCCAAACTTTTGATGAATTCTTACCCTTATACTAATGAAGGACTGATATCAGGGACCCTTCTTTTTGTTCTATGTTTGTACAGTGCCTAGCACAATGGGGTTCATGACTAGGGCTCCTAGGCACTACAATAATACAAATAATAATTATAATACTACACCAGAACACATCATAGTGCAGAAAAGCAGTATGCAAATTTCCTTATCTCAGCAATGACCTGAAGGCCCCCTGTATTCTACTCCAGAGCTTCTCTTGATCCCTCCCCATAGACTGCACAGTACATTTTCAGCAGGAAAATGTCCACTATGGCCTAGGACAAAATCATCAAACTTGTTTTCATTGTGACTTTATCAAGAGTTGAACTGAACACTGCAGAGATGGAAGCCTGACATTAATCCACTACACCAGCTGGCCCACCACTCCCATCAACCCACTCCTCAGAAACTCATCTGCACTAAGATTCAGACACCAGCTGGTTTTAAGCACCTACATATTTCCCTTGAATCTTTCCTCATACCTTCACATAAAAGACCCTTGTTGAGTCTGTTTGGTCAAACATGGACACCTACTCACATATAGGTCTTCCAAAGTAAAGTCCTCATCCACCTCTCTGTGTATCTCTATTTCTCCTTTGTGGGTCAGTTTTGTGGGGCAACGCCTTGGTGGTTCTCGCTCCTGTTTCTCTATCATCTCCAGCACCTGGAAAAAATCACATTGTAGTACACAGAGACCCAAGCAGACATCTCTTGGACAAGGACTTGCTCAAGAAAACAAACATCATAAGGAATCAACACAGGCAAAAGCCAAAATGGAAAAGCAAACCGTGGATTTAAAGAGAAGGGGTTTTAAAGATAAAGTCCTTCTCTTAGTGAAACAACAGCAAGGAATTCTAGCTATCCACAAGATAAATACAGCAGCAGTACATGCCTCCACCAATAATGTGTATCAAACCTGACTTGGAGACCATCCCAAGGCTGAGAAGGAAACTCAGTATCCATGGACAGTTCAGATCTTGGCTTCCATGAAAAGACTGGTCAACAAGACTGCTATTTAGTATCAATAAGGGTGCTAGTTTTTGTGATGTGGTCCCCTTCCCATTAGGAACAGGACAGAGACCATCAGATTCATCTCCTGCAGGTAACCAACCAGCTGTCTGATTTAACAACTTTCAATCAATACCAGCCTGAGCTGCATTTGAACTAGTGACATAGAGGCAAAAAGCTCTGGGCCCCATTGCCTATCCCCTGGGCCATCCCATTCTCAATACAGTCATCCATCTAATCTGCATCAGGAAACGCAAAAGCGTGACACTGTTAACTACTCCTCCTCTATTAAGAGGGGAAAATCATTGCTTTGTAAACATAAGCCCCAGAGTGTCATAGAAAGAGGGAAGCAAGGAAGCCAATTGCCTCTCCTTTCTATTGTATTGGTAAGGAAAGAGCGTTGCACCCTTTTCTAAGTTTTGTTTTATAAAAGCTTTAGAAGACTCCAAAATATAAACCAATCAAGACGAGGCAAAGCAAATGTGCAATTAAAGCACCAAGCCTGTTAGCTATCCTTCTCCCTATTTTTAAAAAATCTAAATCATACTCAGACCCCTTAAGCAATAAAGGGTGCCATTTTCATACTGTAATTACTTTGGTTTAGATCACCTCTGTGTCTTCAACAGAAGAACAAGGTACAGCAAAGGCATCACAAAGAGGCCATTGGGAAAAGGGGATGACACTGCATTTATCCCTCTCTCAGCTGCACTGGGATGACTTACATGTTTGCTCTCCTTAGCTCTCCACTCTGCCAACTCCTTGGGTGCCATCTCCAGTGAATTCATTTGAACAAGACACTGCGGGGAAACCTCTCCAAGAACCACCTGGTGGAAGAGGAGCTGAAAGAACAAAAGAAGGATAAGCAGCCCTTGGAAGAACACTGACCACAAGGGACATGCATAGCCAGTCTGCTTCCAAAGATCTCTCTCTTTCCTTCTCCCACTAAATGTATATTTCAAAGACTTTATCACAGTACTCAGACAATTAATGTTAACTCTCAGCAGGTCTGGACTGGATTGCTTGTGCCATGCCTGGAGAGCCTAGGTTTTGCAACAACATTTATGTGGGAATTTGGACATCTCCATCCATCCATCCATCAGGTTCACAGGCCAGATATGTGTACCAATGCAGGCCTGATGTTATGTGCTACAAAGAAGATAAAGATACTCAGGTGTTTGGCGCTGACCAAATGTCTCTACACACTTACAAAGGATGACAGGTGATGAATGGTAGGCATGGCAAGTGCCACCAGTAATGAAAGATTAAGTAGTGTATTAGAACCCTGGATAAGACCCCAAATGATCATGTGTGGCCAAAGAAGGGGATGCCTGGATGTGCAATTGCATAGGCTTCCTCCATCAGTGAACAGAATGAGACTGTAACATTGGACAGTCTCTTTCTATGCTGGTTCTCTATATAGCCACAAGTTTAAAGAGATACCCTCTTACCAAGCTAATGGAGAAAGTTAGGCAGATTTTCTCAGTCTCTCACCTTATTTTTTGGAGCTTTCAGGTTAAAGAGGAGACTGCGGTACTTGTTTTTGTATCGTTGGTCAACACAAAGAAAGAGGTTGAATATTTCCTTCTCCACATTGTTTGCTAATCTCAGTATCATATCTTCATGGACATCCAGATGAGGAGACTCCTCCAACCTGGAACATAGCAAGCAAGAACTACAGATGGATGTGTCAGATCTGCCTGCTAAACGGGAGCCAATTTATAAATGTACAAGCTCTTTTCAATTAAAATCCCAAATAAATGAGCCTGAGAATCCTCCACCAAACAGGAAGCAGTCAGAAACCAGAGTCTTTTAGAAACTTAACCTTCCCAGGATCTCAAAGAGAAACCCCTTGTATTGTGAAATAGCTTGTTCCAACTGTGCTGCTATGTCAGAAAGCCTGTAGCATGTCTTATTTATGCTCACATCACCTTCAGAGGAGTTGCCAGAAGTGGGGCAGGGGGGAGAGACACAGAGATGTGCTCCAGCCCACATCCTAAGGGAATGCTTCCCTGTCCCCATACAGTAAATTGCATTTAAACTTGGGGCCCTTCCTAACTTCTGTACACTTAGCTGAGCTTCTCACTTCTTCAAATACATCATTATAACTTGAATTCCAGCATGATTGCATCTAACCTAAGTAACAGGCGGGTAAAACATCAGGCATTTACTAGATCATATTCTGGCTTTAAATTTCATGGATAAATATAGTGCTCATAAAAGAGAAGGATAAATAGCAGTGCCTAGAGCAGGTACACCGTGCAAGCTTCCCCTACACAGCTCTGCAATTCTCCTGTGCAGCATCCCTGCTATTCTCCTCCTCTGGCTGGCATATACCTGTCACTCTGCCAGTGTACCCCTGTCTTCATACCAGCAGTACTGCCTGCTATTCCAGACCTAGAATTCTTGCACCTCAGACAAAGCCTGCTAAACTCAATGGGAGACTTTCCATTGACTTCAATGAGTTTTGGACCAGACCACTTAACAAAGGCTGAGAATCATGTGATCGTTTTGTAATGTGGAGAAATAAGGACGAAGGGCCTGAGCCTCCAGTGCCTTCACCTTATGTAGGCCTTTACATCTAGGCAAAGTGACTGCAAGTGACTACGCAAGACAGTGGAGAATTGGGCCCTAGGATGAAACCCTACAGTTTCATTTCCACTTCTGACCTAATAAGGATTTGAAGCTGGCTCTCCAGTTGTTGAACTGTACTGAATTAACCTCACCACCTTGATCCAATTTTCTATGTACTAGAAAAACCTTCTTACATGATTACCTGACAAAGGGCTAAGCCTGCCAAATGAATTAAACACAAACAGTAGCAAAGAGTGAGATAACAAATGGAGCAATCTATTGCAATAAATAATTCTGGTCTGCAAATGACTGTCAATATCATACATGACATGGAATGTTCTAGGTAAACAATAAGTTGAAACCTTTTAAAGGGCCACATTTTTAAAAACCAGCTCCCTTGCTCCTAAAATCCACAAGGGCTGGTTGTGCTATAGAAGTAGCATTCACCACAGGTGATAGGAAGACTTTCACATAACTCCACAGCCGCCCCTCTGACTGATTAAGGAATTGCACAGATGGACTCTGAAGGGAGTTCCACCCATTTTTCCACAGAGCAGAATGGTGGCTGTGATGCAGGGCTCAATAGGAGTTTAAGCTGAGAAAGCTGCGGCCCTCCTTTTAAAATGGATCCATTCCCTACCGGAAACAAGACTATTACATCTCAGAGCTGCATGTTTAAGAGATGTTCTGCTACTGCATAACAATAATCAAATCCACAAGGAAGTTTCCACTGCCCTGGCATTTATGAGAAACAGCATCAGACACAAGACTTTACTTAATAATTCCATGTGACTTTCATATAAGATATCCCCAGCCTTTTCCCCGCCACTATCATTCATAACCCACTTTACCTTTTCTGTAGCATCCCACGCAATGAGTCAACGACCTTAATTCGACTTTGTTCTTCGGACAGCTGCAAACTATGAACAGAAGCTGAAGCTTCTTTAGAGGTTGGTCTCCTACCCCTCCTCCTCTTTTCATTACTGTAATCTTAAAACAAAAGAGAAGTCCTAAAATCTCAGACAGGAGAATCCATAAAGATTAATGCTGAACCCCCTTTGGGTGGAGAGTAGGGGGTTAAGCATTTGTTTTGACAGATTTGTGAAGCAATTTTTTGAATTTCAGCAGCCAATAAAAAGTCCAATTCTTTTTTTTTTTAAATTGTATCTATCGAACACAATGGCAGAATTCCAGGTTTTTGTCTGAAACCACTTCCATGAATGTGGTGGCTCTGAATTTCAAATTGCTAAATAATGCCAATGCAAACAATACTGCCTTCTAGCTAGCAGCACATAATCTAATGTAAGAAGATATTTTGGCATTGAGTATGAAAGCTATTTAGTATATGCATTTTCCACAAACATAAAAGGATTTAGCATCATCACTTGTATAATTAAACCATATTACTTGTTAATTTTTCTTCTAATTGCTATTTATACTAAATTATTGTTTTAACTGTTTCACTTCTTGCATCTTGGCTTCCATAGCCCATCTCCACTCCTGCATCTTGGCTTCCAAAGCCTACTGATGAGATATTAAAATCAGAACAGAATGGGGTTACCCTGGAGCAGTGGTTCTCAACCTGCGGCCCGTTGGCCACTTGCAGCCCAATCAGCACACAGCTGCAGCCCATGTGACATCCACAGGGCCATACAGGTAATATTGGATGCAGCCAACAATGGTAAACAGGTTGAGAACCACTGCCCTGGAGATATTTTTCTCTTGATGTGTCTGGCAAGTAAAGGCACAGGTACCAGAGGTGAAGTGGTTAATTTGGTTTACTGTTTAAACTAATGACTTTCACTCAAAGGAGAAGAGGGCTTGGTGAGAGGCAGAAAATATTCACATTCCTAAATTATAATGATGCTAAACTAAAATTCCATCCAAAAAGGAATTCCCACATTACACCCATTTAGTTCAAAGAGGGTTGTGCCAAAACATAGAATGGATTTACAGCTGAATTCAGACCCTTTAATATTCCTCCAGCCCTTTAAGAAAAGCCAATCTACTTATCATACAAATCACTACAACCGGGGCAGATTTTTGTAACTTATTAAACCCAGCATCAAATATATCTTGTAATAGGGTACCTTTGCACTGTTAGAAATATTCTGCACTGCCACAATACTTTGTGTGTCATAAATACACTAACAAATCAAAATGCAAGGGGTGAAGGCCATGTGTCTGGAGTGAAGAATTTACCCTATTTGCGTGACAACTGAATTGACAGATTACTGCAAAGCTTTGGCCACTGGAATTAAGTTACATCTTCCCTGCTTCGTTCTGTCCTTTGTATACATTGGAAAATCCTCCACGACATTATTTAATCTGACCAAGTAGCAGCACGGCTTTATCTTTTTAGGATTAAGGTCTAATCTATTTATAGCGAGCCAAGGCTGTGTGTGCTAGGACAACACTGATGCTCATCTGCTGCCTGGGCCATATTTATAAATAAAACAATGATCACCTACACATCAGTCAGTGTAAAAGCAAGGTCCTTCCTGCTAATGGCAGAAATGCTACCAACAAAGGTGGGACATTACAGGGACACCATATCTCCCTGTGGTAACTGCTTTCCTACTGAAGATCCAACAAAGGGAACAACTTTATTTTTATGCTGCATGCTGATAAGACAGCAAGTGTCTGAGTCAAGTCTGCTGCCTTTATTCACAAAGGGCCTGGTTCTGCAAATCCCACTCACTTTGCATAGTTCTTATAACCCAGTAGTCACACCGAGCTCAGTGGGACTTCTGGCCTGAGTACTTCTCATTGTGAGTAAGGGCTGCACAACTAGACCCCAAACCCATTTTTATTCACATTTCCTCTAAACAGCCCATGCAGCTGGAGAGCAAGCTGGGTTCTCGGCCACCTCGAGTATCATCAACACGATCAATTTTGATTGCAGAATCTTTAATATTGGAGGGAAACTGAGAGGCAGAAGGAACCCAGCTGGTTTTCAGACTCTAAGTTGAGAGTCCATCCATTAGAAAAATCATCTCTTAACTTGTAAACTGAGCACATTTGCTTTGGAACTGTGAGACTGAGAAGAAAAGCCCTCAGGGTGACCTGACAGTCATTTTTCGTGCATAATGCCACTTGAACAGTTTCATAACATTTGATGACCTTTCTCAGCATTACCATACTGCTAGAAGTAGAGTGATCAGTTCACACTATAAAGATCTTGCCCTTCAGGAGGCGGTGTTTTAATTCCTCTTGAAGTTCCTTCCCCAGGAACACTGCTAACAGATTCCCCTTAACTTAGAGGGGTAGCAGGACTGAAGGGGCAGAAGGCTGCTTGAACAACATACCAGTGTGTTAGCTGCAGTAGTTACATAACAGCTCTAGACACAAGTCTCAGTCTGGGAGTCACTGTACCAGCAAAGCCAGTCACCATGTGAGCATGGGCTTTGCAAGTTTCTCTATATAACTTTGGTTGATGCACCTTAGCCATGACCTGTAATAAGATCTGCTGTTCAAATACTAGGCATCTTTTTAGCATAGACTGTATCATGCCGAACTGTTTAGAAGCTAAGGGCTGTGAACAAATGCCCACCAAATTCATTTTCACTTGGCCTACACCAGGATTTAAATCCCTAGGAGGGAAAAGACAAGGGCTGAACTGGAACCAAATAAAGTGTGGTACTCTTCCAAACTCCATCCATAACCCGAGTTCTGTCCCAGTATAATGCCCATATGTAGATTGCGCAGATCTTAATAAACTGATCTGCCCTCTTATTTCTTGGATGTGCTGATCAATGTGAACTAGTCAAGAATCTTGACATTTAGAATATCATTATAATGCTTCAGGTTCAATACCTCCTTGAGAAGATTAGGGGCAGTTCTCATCTCTCAGATCTATTGTTTCGTGATGTCTGTACACTCATAGAACGATACCACTGAATTGATTTACATTCAGTTCACATTCTAAAGGTTCACTTTTCAACCACAAGGGCTAGAGACTTAATTACTTTCTTAATTACTTGAATTTTGTGAAGGCCAGCTTCCAAGAAAAAGTAATGGTGAGTCAAGATGCCATAAACTGGCCCAATTCAACCCCTGAGAAAAGCTAATGCT